TAACTTAGCACAGGGAATCTGACATTCATCCAAGCTGTCAAGCGTATCAATAGTTTGTTCCTTTTTTATTGTCCAGAGTAGGTATTCCATTGTAAAATATACTGTGGTCTATCCTTCCCTCTACTGAGGGATATCTGAGTTGTGTCTAGTTATTGGCAATTATAAGTAGTGACACTTTTAATATCACTGTGAAGTTTTTAATGTTCAACATGTTATTGAAAGATGAGATTCTCAAAAAAAAAAAGTTTTCTAAACATTTATCTTCTTGATTTCTAAAACAGTCCCCTTGAAGTGTTAGGAATAAATATTGAGCCTGGATAAATTAACTTAAAAATTAATGTAAAATTTGTTTCTCCAACCTAAAAGCAAGCTAGTGAAAGTGTTTATACTTCAGGCTTACATTTGGCCTAATAATATACCACCCTGATTCTTCTTGATGTTGTAAAAAGAATCCTTAAAATTAGTATGTATGTTTATAGAGCACACAGTGAGATGCTGGGGAAATGGCTTACAGGTGGCACATATGTAATCCTCATTTCAAATACAGCTGGGTTATGTGCTACCACTTTGCTGGGCTGTGATTTCTCTGAGTTGGGTGTTTTCTCTGTTAGGACCAGGAAGACTAGTATAAGACCTATGGACTAAGGTGTATCCCAGGCTCTGAATATTCAACTTTAATAAAAGATATTTTTTAAAACCTTGCCTTCAGAGATTATTAAAGCTTGTTACATGTAGAAAATAAGGAAAATAATATATTTCAAATATTTTCTACATTTTAAAGGGATGCTAAACATATCTTTCTTTCCCGTAACAGTTTGGTCGTGTATCTCTCTAATAGCCTCTCATTCTTTCTGGCTGACAGCCGTGAGTGCTCTTTGGGACACACCACGCCAGGTCTTGGTTGACTCAGGGTCTACCGTTAAGCCTTTTGCAGTTAGGACAGAAATATAAGGAAGACCTAGATGACTGTAAAGAAAACAGTGTCAGTGAATGAACATTTACTAAATACGCATCATAGAAAAGATTCAAGTTCAAAGAAAGTTATTGTTTTGTGGGGCAACGTCACAGGAGGTTCATCTATAAACAGTGAAGGTGGATGTTCCTACTTTGCTTTGGTTCTGGAAAAGCTGATGAACTAATCAAGGTATCAGGAACTGCTCAAATAAAGGGAAAAAAGTACTTGGTAAGGGTGATGTTTGAGGTATAAGTTATATAGGTAAAGCCAAAGGGCTATGCAGACGGTCACCCCTCTGATTATATACCTCTCAAATCAGAAATGTCGAAGGCTATAGAGGAGTGTATCTGTGAGCCTTCAGTTCAAAATGCAGAAATCACTAAGAAAAGCATTAGAAAATATATCCTTGTTCTGTCTCAAGTGTGCATATGCAGAAAGTGGATGTATTTCTCACTAAAGGTTTAAATAGCACACACTGAATTTAACAAGAGGTGCCGGCTGTGGGAAGGCTGACTGTGTATCTTCAATACTGTGTGTCTTTGTGCATTGCCAGTGTATTAACTCAGAAATGACAGCCACAGTGCAGAACACTCTGTGAACGTATGATGATAATATAAAGGGAATGAAGTACTGGCTATAAATGGAAGGATGGTTTACTTGGCAGCTTTAACTTGGAACCAGACAAATAAAATTGCTCTATTTTATTCCTTTGGTATCCTAAAAATTTCCCATGAGCTAAATCAATGAGTGAACCTTTCCCCATGTCACGTAAATTATTTTCTCTACTACCAGAAGTAAACATACATGATTGTTAACAAAAGTTCTTAAACTTAATTTTACCACTTACCTGATTGCAAGTAAAATTGAACCTATATTTTGAATGAGTTTTTGAAGGCAAAAACCACAATATTCCAAAAATAATTACAAATAGTGTAATAATTTTCATAAATTGAAATTTCTTTTGTGGTATTTTATATACAATAAAATTTTATAGGCAAATTTTCAGACAAATTTTATATGAAAATTATCTATTTGTATCTTTCTCATTTTATTAATGTTTTAATTTTATTGGTGTATAATTGATTTGTTAGTGATCTGTTATTTTCAGGTGAACAGACTAATTCAGTTATATATACATACATCTGTTCTTTTTTAGATTCTTTTATTAACACTTTATTTTTTAGAGCCATTTTGAGTCACAGCAATGTTCAGGAGAAGGTACAGATATTTTCTGTATAACCCCCACACGTGCCTGAAAGTGTTAGTCACTCAGTTGTGTCCGACTCTTTGCGATCCTGTGGACTGTAGCTTACCAGGCTTATCTGTCAATGGAATTCTCCAGGCTAGAATGCTGAGTGGGTAGCCATTCCCTTCTCCAGGGGATCTTCCCGACCCAGGGGTAGAACCTGGGCCTCCTGCAGTGCAGGGAAATTCTTTTACCACCTGAGCCACCAGGGGAGCGCCTGCACATGCCTGCCCGTCCTCATTTTCGGTGACCTTCATCAGAATGGTGCCTTCGTTAAAAACGGTGGACCTGCATTTACACATATCACCCCAAGCTCGCAGTTTACATTCCTTTTTTTAAGTGATAGCAGTTGCTTTTATTTTTTCCTTTCAGAACCAAGATCAATTTTGTATAAAAGTGTAAATGATACTGAATAAAATGCACTGGAATAGTATTCTTATTTTTGGCTTATTTTTAATTAGAATATTACAGTTATATAAAAAGTCTACATTAAAAATACAATAAAGAGAAATAAAGTCTGTTTAGAACTTTATTAAGATGGTGATAAGTAGGATATCAGTATATCCAGGCCTTTCTTTGGATTTAGATAGGAAGCAAATGCCACTCAAAGACTTTGCTTAAAATATATTAGAGCTAATTATCTATGACTAGTAGGATAGCTCAGTTGGTAAAGAATCTGCCTGAAATGTGGGAGACCTGGGTTCGATCCCTGGATTGGGAAGATCCCCTGGAGAAGGGAAAGGCTACCCACTCCAGTATTCTAGCCTGGAGAATCCCATGGACAGTATAGTCCATGGGGTCACAAAGAGTCGGACACAACTGAGTGTCTGACACACCTCACTCCACAGTAGGTTTCGCAGTAAAATATTAGATGCCCTTTGCTTTTCCTTTTCTTCAGGGTACTCCGTCTGTTGATTTGCAGCTAAACAGTGGGGTGGAACTACCTTGATGAAATTCTTTATCATTGAAGATAAAATCGATCATCCAGATTTGATTTCAAAAATTGTCCATTCTTATGGGATAGTACACTGCTTCTTTGAAAACTCTTAAATCTTTAGAATTAAGCTGGAACAAGCAGATAGAACATTCCTGACATTAATGAGTTTTGAATATTTGGTCAACAAATCTTTTTCTTTTATACAATATATGCCTCAATTTCCTAGGGGAAAAAAATTCATTGTACATGAAAGTATGTTAGGACATAGAAAGTATGTGGATTTTTTCATTTCTTTTGCTAACAGAACCCTTCTGGCCCTTGTGTTAGCTAAATTTATATCCATGTTTATAAGAATTTGTGAAAAGGTCATGTTTGAAGTCCCTGCTCTATTTCCCATCAGATCACCATTTCGCAGTCCATGGACTCAGTGGCCTTCTTTTGGGATCTTTTATTTGCACATCTTTCCAGGTTACACCGTGGTGGGTGTCACCCTTGGGTTATTAGCCTGGTGGCAGTGGACTCCTGTCCCCACATCACTGTGCTTTGATTTCACCCTGAAATGTCATTTTGAATCCCAAGGTCGCTCAAACAAACAAGAATTCAAAAATTAGTATTGAAAAAATCTTCAAAGACGGGCAAAAATAGACTTGAAAATTCATCTCTGAACTTCCTAGAGACTCTGATATATGATTTAAATTTGAGAACCTTTCGGTTTTTCAGAATGTCTTCTTGTGGTGGGCAGGGAGAAAAACTCTTAAAGTTGCTTTCATTCAAACCAATAAGGAGAAATAAAAATGAAAAAACTGTTTGTCTTGATGGCTCATATACCAAAGGCCTCTTGCTCCCTCTACAGAAGGTGTTGCAAAATTGCAGTCACAAAGATTTATTTAAAAAAAAAAAAAAGAAATTAACAGGTTTATCTTGAGGTTCATGATTCACAAAATGTTTTGGATCTGTATGTACCTCCAGTGTCTTGCAAACTAGTTGGTTGTCCTGAAGTTGGCCACAGTAGGTTTCTGTGTCTCTACCCTGGTGTTTTTCAGTGGTGTGAGCAAGGGTTTAGAGTAAACTCCATTAACAATAACTGTTTAAAGAAAAACACAGAAGTATTCTGGGCTTGTTAATTGACTTTATTTACTCACATGAATGAGTAAAATGCTTGAAAAAATTTCTTATTAGGTAATTGTTTTATATATTTTCATTCTTTTTTTATATAGCCAGGAAATTTGCACCATGAAAACAGTAGACGCCACTTAAAGACTTATTAAGTTCTCTTATTATCTCTTATTATCTACTTCTAATTGTTCCAGTCATTTTTAGATCTTAGCTGTTGCTGGGGCAAAAATTAACAATCTGAATTGTAACTTTGCAGGAGAAAGAACTGTTTCATTAATGAAACTGGATTGTTTTCAACTATACATAATACAGGAGACTGAAATTTGACCTATAAATACTTAATATATAAAACAATCATCCATGTATATATATCATCTTAATTTACAAATTTAAGTTGGAACAAATGTTAATATTTTACTAACTTTGATGTAAATAACTTTATGCTTTCACTTACAACTCCAGGACCTTTTCATTTTATTTGATAGGTTACTGGTTTCTCTTATTGTGCCATTTTAAAGTTATAAGTATAAAAATGCTTTTATTTCATCAATAAGGTCTTAACAAAAGATTAAAAATCCTTTTCATTTGTGTTTAGTATAAGAATAGCCCTTAGGATGTTACCCTGTAATTAAAAAATGAACCCAAGAGACAACATAGATTCTTTGATTTAAATAGGTCACATCAGAGTTGCCTGTCCTAAATTATTATGCTAAAACTAGACTGGATTTTTCTTCCCCCTCTGGTAGGTGTACTGGTCCATTAGCGAATTCCCTTTCAGAGAAAACAAGAGGCCCGGTAGAGGAAGATGACGATGAATACAAGATTCCTTCATCCCATCCTGTTTCCTTGAATTCACAGCCATCTCATTGTCATAATGCAAAACCTCCTCCTCGGTAAGAATACGGGCCATTTTTTGTCACCTCACATCTGGATAAGCAGTATCATTTGTGGTATTTGTTTTTAAACTGAATCACATCTGTCTACTGAAAAACCTTTTATTTCTTGCTCAAAACCTCTTCCACCTATAATACTGTTTTTCTCCATGACTTTCAGAGAAAACAAAAAGATGCAGATTTCCATTAACTAGGAAGCCCTCTGACTAAATTAGTTGACTAATAAGTCTGATGGAATAATTTGTTGCCCCCCCCCCACAAAAAAACAAATTATACCCTAGTAAAACTTTGCTGTAGGTTACATATGAGTGAGTGAAGTCAATCAGTTGTGTCCGACTCTTTGCAACCCCATGGACTGTAGCCCACTAGACTCCTCCGTCCATGGGATTTTCCAGGCAAGAGTACTGGAGTGGATTCCATTCCCTTCTCCAGGAGATCTTCCCGACCCAGGGATTGAACCCAGGTCTCCCACATTGTAGGCAGATGCTTTAACCTTCTGAGCCACCAGGGAAGTCTGGTTACATATAGTGGTGATTAATTCATGGGTTGTCAGTAAGGTATTTTCAACACTTTTTATCACTTCTAAGCACGTATCTCATGAAGGAAAGCTATTGCTTAGAAACGAGTTATTATACCAACCTTCCTTAGAATTTTTCTTCATGATATAAGGACTAGTATAACATTTATTTTCCTTCTTGATGTGCTACCTACTTCAGATCTTGAAGAATTGAAACAAATTATTTAACTATTTTTATCAGGTACTATTTTTACTTTCCCTTGGATTAAACAAGCATGTGAGGAATAGTGTTTGGCTTTCTTTTCTTCTTGTCAGCTATTTATTCTTCCTCCTATAGAGACACCCTCGGTCTTTGTTATTAAAAATGGGTGGTGTGTATTGAAATATTAGATTGTCTTTATGACTCTGCATTTATATAATTGAATTAGTAAATCATAATATAATATTTTGCTTTTTTTTTTTTTTTACATCTGACATATTAACATTCAGTGAATGCTCAGTCATGTCTGACTCTTTGTGACCCCATGGACTATAGCCGGCCAGGCTCCTCTATCCATGGGATATTCCAGGGAAGAGTACATGAGTGGGTAGCCATTTCCTTCTCCAAGTATATTTAGTACTCAGGAAGTCAAATCTCAGCCTCAGACTTCTTTCCTGAGCTTTCTCTGTGTAATTACACCCCTGGAGCTCTGCCTGGCGTATGCGGAAGAGCGCTCAGCTGCTGCTCACGTCCCAGCCTCTTGCCTGGCAGCCTCTGTTGACTGGGAACAGGAGAGCTGTTGGACACTTCAGTCGTCTATGTCATCTTTACGTAGTGTGCCGTTTCTTTCTGAGGTCAAGCCAGTCAACAGAGTGTTTTATGAGTGGAGTTTTCCTTTCTTTCCAGAAGAAATAGCTTTAAAAAAAAATGTTTTGATGCCTTTCTTCTAGTATTGTACTATAATACTTGGAAAAAGAGAAGCAAGTTTCCATTTAAAGCAGAGATCTGCCTTAATGAATTACGTGCTTAGAATTATCATAGTACAGCACTCCGCACAGTTGTTCACCAGGGTTATTAACAGTCAGCCGCCCAGGGCTTCATAGTTCACAGTGTTAGCCGCTCAGCCATGTCTTTGTGACCCCATGGACTGTAGCCCACCAGGCTCCTCCATCCACGGGATTCTCCAGGCAAGAGTACTGGAGTGGGTTGTCATTCCCTCCTCCAGGAATTCTTCCCAACTCAGGGATCAAACCCAGGTCTCCCACATTGCAGGCGGATTCTTCACCGTCTGAGCTCAGAAGATCCTGGGTTGGGAAGATCCCCTGGAGAAAGGGGATGGCTACCCATGCCAGCATTCTTGCCTGGAGAATCCCATGGACAGAGGAGCCTGGCGGGCTGCAGTCCATGGGTCACAAAGAGTCAGACACGACTGAGCAACCAACACTTTCACTTTCACGTTTCACAGTGAAAACCAGCATTCTTTTGCAGACTGCTGGCCTTTAGGGCATTTATTGGTAAAACAGTATCATTGAGAAAACAGAGAAATAACTGAGAGGTAATAATTTATTATGTTAGAAGAGCCGAATGTCTATTGCTCTTATTAAAGAAAAAAGTTATTCCTTAACATCAAATATCCACTGTTAAAATTTTCAGTTCCCTTGGTGCTTAAAAATTTGTAGTAATTTTAAAAACTGAAATAAGATGAGATTTTGTTTTTGGTCTCCTTGGGATCTCACTTATTTTCATCACTGGGTAGGTAAGGGGTATAATTTTAAGACTTTACATTTTAATTGTCACATCATATTCAATGAGATTTTTGGTGACAGGCCTCTGAAATCCTGAAAATAAATTTAATTTATGACCACCATTACCATCTTTCTACAGTTATAGAGAAGTAATAAATGTTGATAATCCCTAAATTTAATTGGAGTGAATTTTTTATTTGATTGTTCTTGAGAGCTGATGGATGAAGTATCTTCTTAGGTCCTCTCCAAAGCACTCTAAACTTAGATACCTTCTTTCTGCATTTTTCCTCTCTTTGGAATATCAGGAGAAGTAAATTGTCAATATATAGAAAATGTTAAACTGTAGATGAATAATTCAGTTTCAGTAAAAACCCATCATTTTATGAAAATACATGATAACTATTTTTAAATGAACCGTCTCTGTCCCCTTAAAGAGATGTGGCCACTAGAGAGAAAGGAAGTGGATTTCAGATGAAGCACTTGGCAGTAACTATTCAGATGTCCAATATCTCCTCCATTATGTATGTACTTTTACTTTGCCCCAAGAAGTCAGGGTAAATTGAGAAAAGTAAAATATAAACTCTGCTTTCTGCAGCTGTTTGTGAGCAGAGTGAGCAGAGAGCCTGCTGCTGCAGAGTTATATTCCGAAGACAAAATAAGCTCAATGCTTCTCTTCCTATGCCTTGGACTTAGCATTGTGTTCATAGATTGATTCCAAAGCATTAAAGCCAACAACAAAAATACCTGTTTAGTAAGTATTGTCCTTTTAGAGACACCCAGATTAAAATATCTGGTGTGTACCCAAGGCCTTTGCTAAAGTCATTTTTCTACTTACCTGACAGAAATACCAGAGTTTTGTTCATGGCAATAGTGAAATTATGCCCTAGGCTCCTGTTCTTTGAAAATGCCTATCTGAATTTTTATGGACTTTCTGAGTATTTAATAATTCTCCTTCGTTGCTAATTCCCTGATAGCTCAGTTGGTAAAGAATCCACCTGCAATGCAGGAGACCCCGGTTCGATTCCTGGGTTGGGAGGATCCCCTGGAGAAGGGAAAGGCTACCCGCTCCAGTATTATGGCCTGGAGAATTTCATGGACTATATAGTCCATGGAATTGCAAAGAGTCAGACACGACTGAGCGACTCTGACTTTCTTTCCTTCCTTGATAGGTTCCAGTTTTTTATAAGGAAAGCTTAAATTACAGAAATAAAAATACACTGTTAAGTATCACTAATCAATAATGAAGTCACTGGGACTTTTACATGTTTTTGCCTGCATATTACATTTTTTTTCTTCAAAAACTTGATAATATGGAAATCTTCCAAAATTGTATGTTAATTCCACAAGTCTGTTTAGGATATGAACAGTTTTGTGGCCCTTTTAATTGTTGGTTTCACTTAAAAAAAAAAAAGATTGTCTTCTATGGAATATTTACTTCTGCTTTGTAGAAGTATTTGAGTAATAGTATGTAGATATTACCTGCACTTTTTCCAGAAAAGTAAATTAATGGTATTTATTTTCCAACTTTATCATATGAGCGAGGTTGCTGGTTCCCATCATCTCCCCACCCCCAAATGACTTTTAAATGGAAAGCAATGACCCTTAACGATTTCTGTCCTTTGATTTCTGCTTCAGATCTTGTGATAACGGTCACTGCATATTGAATGGAACACATGGCACATCCTCAGAGATGAAGAAATCAAACATCCCTGAGTTAGGCGCATATTTAAAGGGTATGTATAAAACATCCTCTCTGTCTTCTGCATCTTAACGGTCAGAATTTAAAGGCAAATCCCACGCCGCTGTCGTACTGAAGATACATTAAGATTTTGTGTCATCCTCTAGGAGATGGTTTTGACTCAGCCTGCGATCCAGTGCCGTTGCTGCCCGCCAGGCCTGCAGCCCGGGACAGTGCAAAGCACGGGTCTTCACTCAACAGGACGCCCTCTGATTATGACCTCCTCATCCCTCCGTTAGGTTGAAACCTTTAAAACAATTTCAAACAAGCCACTCTGCCATCTCTTTCAATTCACATCTGAATGATCAGAATTCAGGGTTCAATGCAGTGCAGCCTTGTCGGGTTCTGGAATTGTCTGAATTAGAGTGCAGGGTCCAGGTGATGGTGGCCTCAAGTTCATGTGACCATGATTCCACTTAGATGGTTGAAACAGTGGTGTAAGTAGCTGGCATCGGTCAGGGTTTTATCTGTTGTCTCTTCATGTCCACACTCTCAGGAGGGCACTGTTCATTCCCCCAGGTGCTTGCGCTTCTTAGGGATTTGGAGTATTCTTCTGAGATTCTCTTTAAGTACAATTCTGACTGAATGTGTATTTACTTTTTCTTTCAGTATATAATAACCCATTTCCACTTAGCTAAATTACATTATGGGGAATTATATATTTTATTGCAGAGAGCCAAAAACACATTCTCTCATAATCATTGCAGCTAGAAATAATCTCAATTTGTTTCCAATTTTGCTATGAAGTACACTTAATATGTGTGTGTGTGTTATGTGTGAAGGTACACACAGGTGTATATGTATTTAAAAGTTGTTTGGTGCAGGTGTCTATTTCATTAATTTTAGGTAGGAAGCTTCTCACCCTATTTTTAAAGGAAGACAAAACTTTTGGAAGTTAAAGCTTCACAACGTGTCACCATAACATAAAATAATGTATGAGGAAGGTTCTTTGGTGAGCTTATCTGAATTATTAGGCTACTGGAAATGAACTTTTCCATTTTTCTTCCCCCAGAGACACCATTATTTCTAGTTACACCGTTGAAGGTCCTGCTTCTGTTCTTCCTGCAGTTCCGTGTTTTACTGTCACCTGCATGGATTACAAGGGCCTCCCAACTTCCTTCTTTACCACCAGGCTTTTTCTTTTCTTCTGCTTCTTCCTCTATGCTGGTTTTTCACCGGTTACCCAAGTCTTTATGACTAGATCAGCATTGTCCTGTAGAACTTTATGTGGTGACATAAAAGATCTGTATGTATGACCACAGAACTGAATTGTAGTTTATTTAAATATCTGTATGTAGATGGTTACTACCATATTGGACAATGCAGAGAAGCATTCCAACCCTCATTTTAAAATTATTTTTAGTTGGAAGGTAATTGCTTTACAGTGTTGTGTTGGTTTCTGCCATTCAGCAGCATGTAACTCATCCTTTGACTCTTCATGTACATCTCATATTTTATTTATGCTATTCACTCAGCCTAGAACATACCATCCTTGTATTTGATGTAGTGTTAAGTCGCTCAGTTGCATCCAACTCTTTGCGATGCCCCGGACTGTAGCCTGCCAGAATCCTCTGTCCATGGGATTCTCCAGGCAAAAATACTGGAGTGGCTTGCCATTGCCTTCTCCAGAGTGTATTTGATTAACAAATGTTTTTGAGCCCCTGATACCCAGACCTTCCTGTTCTGGGTAACACCTTGCTGAATGCCACTTTCTACCTTCCTCTTCCCTCTTACAAGGCATCTCTTTCTATGTGGGACCTATGGGACTTTCACCTCTGAATCATTTGTGAACTTTTTATGGAACTCTGTGGAATCTAAGCTCCTCAGATCAAGGCCTTATCCATGTGCCTAGTATGGTATACGGGAATCTCAGGGTGGGGAAAATAACAGTAGGGGTGGATAAAGGATGTGAATAAAGAAGATAGTGTAGGAGATGGCTAAAGGTTCAAATGATACTAAGAACTAAGCTCTCTTTCCTATACTTTCCTATATTTCACATTAGAAAAATTTCTCTAATGATCATTAGAGAAAATATTCTGAATGTTTTTCCCAAGGCAAGCTAGATGAGTGGTGAAACCATTTGGATTTAAATATACCTTTATATTCAAGTCAATATATTTAAATCCAGAAGAATTATTTATTACTAGAATATGTAGGTATTTATACTCCGTTTAATTCACAAGTATTTGCAATTGCTTGCAGAAATACATATACTGCAATTTTATTTTTTAAACAATCAAGATGAGGAAAAATATGAATAGGAGATAGTAAGATGTGGCAGGTGAAACCTAAGTAGACATAAAAATCTGCTGCAGTATTTTATCGTTACAAAAGCGGGGAACTATGCAAATGTAAGTAACTCGCTTTGGGACCACCACAGAGGGAGTTCTGTATTTAACTATGCCTCTCTAGAGACACCTGGTAAATGGAAAAAGATGATGTTCCTCTCCTGCAGGCACATTTTCTGTATATTTTGACGATGAAATATATGGGGAGCATTAGTTTAAATGAATTAAAATCCAGTGGAGCAAACTTTAAAAGATAATTTATTTTGTGACATTAAATTTGTGTGCATTTGTGATTTTTCCAGTTAGACTATGAACTCTTACTGTTCAACAAAAATTCTATTTTGATGATGTTGATCTTATAACATTTAGTTCAAACCTCCAATGTCTTGATATTATAAAGGTTACAAATGAATAATAAGCTGTTGCATACCCTGCCATACAGCTTTTTAACAGGAAGACCTGAGAGAGTCTGCATGTACCCATGTGTGTCTGTGTCTGTACTTCTCTCTAGACACCCCCCACAAAATAATCAGCTCCCACTCTCAAAGTCGGTCAACCGCTGTATAAACACTGCAGGTGAAGTTCTTTATAAGCAGTGAGAGGAAATGATTAGTTTTGCCCGAAGTTCTGCTGCTGATCCTGGCCTTTCTTTAAACGCAGGCGAAGATGCTTTTGATGCCCTGCCTCCGTCCCTCCCGCCTCCCCCGCCTCCCGCAAGGCACAGCGTCATCGAACATTCGAAACCTCCTGGCTCTGGCAGCCGACCATCCTCAGGACAGGACCTTTTCCTCCTTCCGTCAGGTAGGAGAGAAAACCCAAGCAGACCTTTTCACTGGAAGCAAAGTATTTCTAAGATCATACTGTCAGATAAGCATCAGTAGTTCACTGATTTCTAGCTCTCAAGCTGGAAAATCCTGGGGGAAAATAGCAGTTGGGTGGGTTTGTCTGTCAGTTGTTTGGTTTAGTGCCGGAAGGATTTGTAAAAATGGTGAAAGCAACAAGGAATCACAGAATTTAGAAATGTTGCTGTAGAGATGATCCAGTCCAAATAACACCTGTATGCTACAAAAGACTTCTCTGAGAACCAGCAGGGCTCTGTGTTTGGGCTAATAGTGATGGGGACAAATTTAGACTCACCCCTAACTCTGAGTGTGATATTTCTAATAACGTGTTTAAAAATTTTTACTAAATATGCTTTAGGGTCATTATTTTATTCCAAAACATGATATCTTGGTAAATTATACTGCTGTAACATTAGTAGGTATGTTTTTTTCTGAAATACCTGCATTTTATTGTTGTGTTACTGTTCTCATTTTTAATGCCTCAGTGTATTTACTAAAATTATTGGTCTTCGAGGAAAAATTAATATATAGCTTTTTGTAAATTCAAGTGAGGAGTAGAAATAAAAAGACTTAGTAAACCATCCACTTTACCAGTCAGAATTATGAGGAAAAAAAAATTCAGTTATATTGAATCTGCTGATACTAACTGTTCCAGTCAGCCCCGTTGGTGACACTGTGATCTATACTCAAACATTTGCTTCCTCAGTTTGGTTTGATTAAACATAGGATAAAGATTTTCTTTCTTAGCAACTGCCTTACATATATGTATGAGCTAAATCATGAAAGCCTTTTAAGAGTGCTAACTTTGTCCTTTGGCCTCCTACATGCTTCATAGAAAACTTGGGCATCTTAACCATTGTCATTCACCTTTTACATTTTTTTTCATGGTTCTTTCTTTCAATTTGATTTGATAATTTAGAAGTTTGAGGCAGTTTGTACATATGACACACAATTATAGACATATAACTTGGAATATATAGCTTCAGTTTCTAAAGGCAGTTTATGTTCAAGGAATAATTTTGAGTTTAATTTTTTGTCAGTAAAGACTGAATTGCCCTGTGTCACTGACCCTGTGAAATGCTTCCCTGACCTCATGGATCACGTTAATTTGTTAAATGCTGCCAGTCTGAGCTACATTTAAGCCCACTGAATGAAAGCTCAGTGAAGTGACTTCTTTTAAAATTAAGCTTTCTAGGATTCTAGAACATTTTACACACATGCTTCTACCTATTTCAAAAGAATCAATTGTAAAATATTTAGTTCTTTATCATAATTTCATTGTGCTTTGTAAAAATCTTCAAAAATTTTTTACTCAAGATTAATTATGAGAAAAAAATACTTCAAAATGAAAAGCCCCCTTTTTTATTGGACAGAATGAAACTGTTGTATAAACGGCTTTATTTCATGCATAGCTTTGCCTGACAGCAGAGGGGCTCAGGAGCAGTTAAACTCCCCGAGCCTGTGGTGTGAGGCTGACGCGAGGCCAGAGCAGGGCCGTTTGAGCTGCTGACTCACTCTTGACCTGCCTTTGGGTTTTCCTGGTGGCTCAGATGGTGAAGAACCTGCCTGCAAGGCAGGAGACCCAGGTTTGACCCCTGTGTTGGGAAGAGCTCCTGGAGAAGGGAATGGCTACCCGCTGTTCTTGCCTAGAGAACTCCATGGACAGAGGAGCCTGGCAGGCCACACTTCATGGGGTCGAAGAGAGTCGCACATGACTGAGCAACTAACACACAGACTTGACCTCCTTTTATCCATGCAAGTATTCTAATTCCATTCCAAATAATATTGACAAATTAAATTGACATTTCTTCTAAGAAGAAAAAAGTGCAGCTTTCTTCCCTGTTTCCAGTCTCCTGTCATTAACAGGGCAAATTTCTAGTCTGTTGCCAGTTGCTTTATGTGATTCAATGAGTCACTGTTTTTATTCATTTTTAAACCACATGTATTAGACCTCCTCTTTTTCAAAAGAAATATTTTAATTGTTCTTAATGGAATATCATAGAACCCGAAGGTTTCTTTCAGCTTGTAAATAAGCACTTGATTATATCATTCTGCAAAGGATTTAACACATTATACTGTCTAAAAAGTGTAATAGAAAATTCATAAAATCAGTTCTTTACTCTGAATTGAACTTTCTAAAAGAATATAAATACTAAACCGAAGTTTAACTCAGTAGTTGTAGAACCATATAAGGTAAACAAAGGTGATTGCTAAATTGAAACAGATATATGAGCATTTTACTGCCATTATTTTCATTATAGTTTAATCTGTAAAAGTTTAGACCAGTGTAATGATAAGCATTTTCTGGCATTATGGAAATTTGGTTTCCTTGAGGAAATCAGTATCCCTAATTAAAGACAGAGGTTAGGCATCTTCATGATGTTAAGTACCTCTTTAAACCAGCCTCTTTATTCCAGCATTCAGTGCCCTGCACAGCTGAGTCAGGCCCACCTTTCCAGCCTTACAAGCCCAATGACTGCTCTATAATAGTGATTTTTAAACTGCAGGGCCCAGTGTTTCTGCAAAAGAGCCTTAGGGCTCCCATACGATCAGAAACGGGAAATGGAGCAGGGACACAGCTCTGATGCTGCTTTTATCTGGTTTCCGTTTTAGGCCTCCATGCAAGATTTCTTTTGGCAAATAGTAATGCCCACCCCACGGTACATGAGCCATCTACTCTGGACAAGCCAGTCATATCTTAACAAAACCTGAAGAGTCCTCAAAAAAAGCTTTACACTTTCCTGTCTACAAACCCAGGGCTAGCACATATAGGCTTTTATGTGCATTACAAAAAGACATTTCTTTAGTGTTGGTGGGTTGAAATAGGCGCGCCTCCCTCTGCTTTGTGCCAGGGACAGCGCTCCAGGAACAAAGCCAAGGCAGCAGTTACATCTGCGCATTCCCAGGACTGCGTCTCTGTGCAGCGCACAGAATACACAGTGTATCTGGAGCCCTTACTGAACCCGTCCTTCACTCTGGTTCTGCCTGGAATCTTCTTTTGCAGACCTTATCCAGTCTCAAAGTCATAATTCAACCCTGAAGGCTAGCCAAACTGACGTTATTAGAGATAAAGGAAAGTTTTCCACTGGGATCCAGAAATGCAATTGCATAAGTAACGTACAGAGAAGGCTTGGATCATTAGCAGCAGTTCCTGGGAATGCTTTAGGGTGTGATGACGCACACCCATTACATGGTTTCCCAGGGTGCTCATGCCCTCTGAGGGTGGCCCTCACAGAGTTCAGGTCACAGACCCCGCGAGGCGAGGTCCTCCCCGGGGCGCAACCAGCGTGGAGACCACTGTGTCCAAGTATTGAAGGATTCATGGGGTAGAGCCGTGGTTCTCAAGTTGTGGTCTCAAGACCAGCAGCATCAGCATCTCCTAGAAATTTGTTTAAAATGCCAGGTCTTTAGACTTACTCAGGACTTACTGAATCAGACACTCTGGGAGTAGGACCAAAAGTCTGCATCGTCACAAGCCTTTGGGGTGATTCGGATGCATGCTCAAGCTGGAGAAGCCCGAGACTAGCTTACTCCTGAGGAATGCAGCCAGCGTGAGAGAGGGAAATAAAACCACACCATGTGAGCTATGGTACATTAAAGGGACTGGAGGTGTTTTAACCGAGAGGGTAGAAGATCTTGACTATATTAGAGTTGCCTTCAACCACTGTACTTGTGAAAGAATGATTAGATTTCCTCCATGTCTCCTCAAATGATCAAAGACTGACCAGTGAGAAGAATTAGGAGTGAAAAAATGCATTCCTCTTAAGCTTCTTGAATTAATAATAATTCATATATCTCAGATGGGTATTTAATTCTCTAACACTGGAGGACTTAATCCGTGGCAAATCACTACATATGGGGATTTTATGAATATGAGTTAGAGTGAGGAGTTTTGTTTCACTTCAATAGCTCCTCAAACCCTATTCCAAGTCTTTATCAGTTGCATCTAGCATTGATAGTCTTTGAAAACTTTCAGAGTATTGGATCAATCTTTGAGATAAATTTTGGGCAGTCCAGAGGAAAGATGCCATTGTTTTAACTGTTCAAATTGCCTCTTTTCCTACACTTGAGTAAAAGATTCTAAGTATTTCAGATAGTGGGGGAAAAAGAATTAAGAAAATTCCATAATGCCTCCTCCCAGAGAAAACCTCTTGTTAGGTTTCCTTCAGTCCAGTTCAGTTCAGTTCAGTCGCTCAGTCGTGTCCGACTCTCTGTGACCCCATGAATCGCAGCACGCCAAGCCTCCCTGTCCATCACCAGCTCCCGGAGTTTACTCAAACTCATGTCCATCAAGTTGGTGATGCCATCAAGTTGGTGATGCCATCCAACCATCTCATCCTCTGTCATCCCCAGTCCATCACCAACTCCCGGAGTTTACTCAAACTCATGCCCATCCAGTTGGTGATGCCATCCAGCCATCTCATCCTCTGTCGTCCCCTTCTCCTCCTGTCCCCAATCCCTCCCAGCATCAGGGTCTTTTCCATCGAGTCCAGCAGTACCCTGCTTTTAGAGTAGACCAGTCCCATCATGTTTATTCATTCATTTCTGAAACATTTATTACTATATATAATGATACACTGGCTATGGTATTTTCAATTTTGTATGTTTTAATCTTAAGTGTGGATATAAAATTTTATTTTAGTGGATTATTGAAGAATTTGTTTTTTAAAACTATTGATTTTCTATTCTTATAATTATTGTATCTCTGTAGTAAATGTATCATGTGTATTTTCCCATTGAAGCAGGAACCCTTCCAACCTTACAACTTGCTGCAGAAGCCCAGTTTACCCTGTACCTGAGCAGTAGCCAAACTTATCATGAAGCATCGTAGTGATTCAGAATTGAATTAAATATTCCATGCTATTTATGTTTACATTTTAGTGTACCCAGTGACTTTTTAGGTGCAATAGATTAATGGCACAGTATCATACTACTGTATATTATGTAGTGTATTTATGACTCAGTAATCAGTAATTTATGACTCAGTAATCTGGAATATAATATTTAGCCTTAAATAAATAGATGTTTAGAAATAGCTTAGGTATATCTAACAAAACCATAAATTTATCCTTAAGGAAACAGAAAAGTTTATGTATTGTAGAAGATGGTCTTTTCTCTGACCCAATTTTAAATCTGTGACATTTTAGAATGAACAAAAACTAAAAGTAAATTTTATTGAACATTTAACTGTAAATCTTTGGAAATTTTCTATATTTATGCAGAAATAACCATATTTGGTCCCTTTGGTTAACCTTCCAAAATCAAAAGATTAATATTTATTGCATGGAATTTATCTTCTTACTCCTTTCTAAAATGTTTCAGCAAAATTAATGAGGCTGATCCATTGACTTTTCAGTTATTGAAAACTCAGAATCTAAGACTCATTTTAATCTCAAAATTAATGAAAGCAAATTAAGTAACCTTGGTTAGGTTTTAAAAAAAAGTCTCTACCAAAGCTGGGGATAATTATTGTATTCAAATAAGGAAAGAAAATGACTTGAACTCTTGCCTTACATTATCTTATCAAACTTTAGTATAAGTATGCATTTCCTTCTTAAATTATCAAATTCTTACATGTTTTTAATATCAAACTCAAATGAAATTTAAAACAATGAAATGTTATCTGTTCTTCTTTAATAGTTAACATTTTAGCTTTATGTTAGCAATACAAATTTCACAGAATTTGAATTTATGAAAAATCTGAATCTAGATTAGTTTTTGGTAGTTAAAAGTAAATATCTATGAAGTGCAGGCTATTTACCCAGCAGTGTGCCTGGTACCATGTTTCTGTTAGGAGATATGATTCAAACACAGTTGAGTATAAGATAAGGTCCCTGTCCTGTAGATGTCAAGTGCATTTTACAGATTATGTCTGCCTGATGCTTAAGAGAGATTAATTGATATGATAATACTATAACAAACAAAATTCAAAATCCACTTTTTCTCATTGACTTTACAACAGTTTCTATTCATTGTACAGGACAAATTGGGGCATAAAATTAAAATTAGAAACAGTTTTTATCATCAACAATTTTACTATCAAATAAGAGATCTGAAAAATGCAAAATTAGTAGTGTGCATCAGTTAGGAAAAACAGGGAAAAGCATTTTTGACCAAGTGATGAATAAATTAGAAAATATGCAGGCAGATTAGAAAATGGTTACTGTCAGTCATGAAATGGTTTCTTACTTTCAAAAATTGATCTTTACAGATAATTTCTAATTGTTTTCTTCAGCCAGTTGGCAGAGATAATAGTTTTAATCTGAAAATTATCTTTATTTTTAAGATCCCTTTTTTGATCCAGCAAGTGGCCAAGCTCCTTTGCCTCCTGCTAGGAGATTACCAGGTGAAACTGTCAAGTCCAACAGAGCATCACAGGACTATGATCCACTCCCTTCATCTTCAGGTGAGTTGGCTAATCATAGTGAGAATAATACCTTACCTTTGCATAGTGCCTTTTAGAGCACCTTTCATTCATTATGCAATTTAATGAGTACTGCCAGCCTAAGAAAGTATTTTTATCATCTCTGCATTTGCTCATAAAGCATGTATTATGTGAAGAATGCCTACAGAATTGTCTCACAGAAAATATTAATTAAGTCTTAATTTTGATCTGTCAGTAAGGCACGTTCTGTGCCTCAAAAATCTATTCATTCTCTAACTGAGCTCATGGGAAGATCCAAGGCAGCCAAGTAAGTAAATACTTCATTCTCTAACTTTTGTCTTGCCTTATCAGATATGAGAGATGGGAGAAATGTCTATATACACTGAAATGTTGTGTTCTCTTATTTTTCCATTAAAGGAAAAAAAAAGTCTCTTTAGAATTACTATTAGCACCAGACTGTTAATTTTCAAGCTTATTTAAGGCTATCGTGCAATGTTCAGCTGCTAGTCAGTAAGTGTTGGGTTGGTCAAAAAGTTGGTTCAGGATTTTAGTGTGATGTTTCAGAAAAACCCAAACTTTTTGACCAACCCAATAGAAGGATGTACCATTTTAGTAACTACAAGTCATACTCATAGCCATTATTAATGAAACGCTGCTGATCTGCTTCTTCAGGATGCCTTCCATATCTAAAATAGCTTCCCCTACTTTAAACAGTCACTTTATCCCCTTCTTTTGCCTTATGTTTCTTAATACCACCTTCCATTAATTTCTTTGCTTGACCATTTATCTTCTCACTCAAATATTAATGCTTTAAAGATATATGTGTGATTTGGTTCACTGCTATATCCCCAAGTGTCCAGAGGAGTGCCTAGCACTTATTTCTTGGATAAGTGTCTTAGATACAGGGGAGGAGGGAAGAGTAACTGATAGATGTTATGCTGAACATAACACATATTAAACAATTAAAACAATATATTCGTCTCACAATTAGAAGCATCAGGAGTTTTTCCTGTATAAATTTTTGTCCTATATCAGTATTTTTTTAACTATATTTTGACTTCTTTTTTTTTTAAGTACAGTTGATTTATAATGATATGCTACTTTCAGGTATATAACAAAGTGTTATATAACTGAATATATATATACATGTGTGTATATATATCAGTTCTGCTTAGTCATGTCCAACTCTTTGCAACCCCATGGACTGCAGCATGCCAGGTCTCCCTGTCCATCACCAACTCCAGGAGCTTAATCAAACTCATGACAATTGAGTTGGTGATGCCATCCAACCATCTCATCCACTGTCATCCCCTTCTCCTGCTTTCAGTCTTTCCAGCATCAGGGTCTCTTCCAGTGAGTCTGTTCGTTGCATCAGGTGGCCAAAGTATTGGAGTTTCAGCTTCAGCATCATTCCTTGCAATGAATATTCAGGACTGATTTCCATTCAGATGGGCTGATTGGATCTCCTTGCAGTCCAAGGGCCTCTCAAGAGTCTTCTCCACACCACAGTTCTAAAGCATCAATTCTCAGTGCTCAGCTTTCTTTATAGTCCAACTCTCACATCCATACATGACTACTGGAAAAACCATAGCTTTGACTAGACGGACCTTTGTGGCTAAGTAATGTCTCTGCTTTTTAATAAATTGTCTAGGTTGGCCATAGCTTTTCTTCCAAGGAGCAAGCATCTTTTAATTTCATGGCTGCAGTCACCATCTGCAGTGATTTTGGAGCCCAAAAAAATAAAGTCTGTCACTGTTTCCCCATCTATTTCCCATGAAGTGATGGGACCAGATGCCATGATCTTAGTTTTCTGAATGTTGAGCTTTAAGCCAAATTTTTCACACTTATCTTTCACTTTCATCAAGAGGCTCTTTAGTTTTTCTTTGCTTTCTGCCATAAGGGTGGTGTCATCTGCATATATGATATTGATATTTCTCCCTGCAATCTTGATTCCAGCTTGTGCTTCAACCAGCCCAGCATTTCTCATGATGTACTCTGCATATAAGTTAAATAAGCAGAGTGACAATATACAGCCTTGATGTACTCCTTTCCCAATTTGGACCCAGTCTACTGTTCCATGTCCAGTTCTAACTGTTGCTTCTTGACCTGCATACAGATTTCTCAGGAGGCAGATAAGGTGGTCTGGTACTCCCATCTCTTGAAGAATTTTCCACAGTTTGTTGTGATCCACACAGTCAAAGGCTTTGGCATAATCAATAAAGCAGATGTAGATGTTTTTCTGGAACTCTCTTGCTTTGTCGATGACCCAACAGATGTTGGCAACTTGAATTCTGGTTCCTCTGCCTTTTCTAAATCCAGCTTGAACATCTGGAAGTTCATGGTTCATGTACTGTTGAAGCCTGAATTTTGAGCATTACTTTGCTAGCTTATGAGATGAGTGCAGTTGTGCAGCCGTTTGAGCATTCTTTGGCATTGGAATGAAAACTGACCTTTTCCAGTCCTATGGCCACTGCTGAGTTTTCCAAATGTGCTGGCATATTGAGTGCAGCACTTTCACAGCATCATCTTTTAGGATTTGAAATAGCTCAACTGGAATTCTGTCACCTCCACTAGCTTTGTTCGTAGTGATGCTTCCTAAGGCCTACTTGACTTCGCATTCCAGGATGCCTGGCTCTATGTGAGTGATCACACCATTGTGATTATCTGGGTTGTGAAGATCTTTTTTGTATGTGTATATATATGTACTGTGTATATACAGTATATGTATATATGAATATACATATACAGTCATCTTCAGATACTTTTCCATTATAGGTTATTACAACATAGTGAATATAGTTCCCCGTGCTATGCAGTAGGACCTTGTTTATCTATTTTATATATAGTACTATGTATCTGCTAATCCCAAATTCCTAATTTATCCCTCCTTACTCCTTTCCCCTTCTATACCAATTTGTTTTCTATGTCTGTGAGTTTCTGTTTCATAAATAGATTCACTTATATCACTTTTTTCAGATTCCACATGTAAGTGACATCATAAGATATTTGTCTTTCTCCGTATGATTTACTTCACTTAGTGTCATCACCTCTAGGCCCATCCATGTTGGTCCAAGTGGTGTTATTTCATTCTTTTTTATGGCTCCATAGTGTTCCATTGTATGTATGTATGCATGTATGTATATCCATTCATGTATATCCATTCATCTATCGATGGACACTTGCATTGTTTCCATATCTTGGCTGCTTTAAATAGTGCTGCTGTGAACACTGGGGTGCATGTATCTTTTTGAATTTTTTTATCTTTTCCAGATATATGCCTGGGAAATGGGTTGCTTCATCATATGGTAACTTGATTTTTCATTTTTTAAGGAATCTCTGTATTGTTCTCCATAATGGCTACATCAGTTTACATCCTCCCCCACAGTGTAGGAGAGTCCTCTTTTCTCCACACCCTCTCCGGCATTTGTTGTTTGTAGACATTTTGATGACGGCCATTCTGACCTGTGTGAGGTGATATCTTGTAGTTTTGATTTGCATTTCTCTAATAATTAGCAGTGTTGAGCATCTTTTCATGTGCCTCTTGGCCATCTGTATGTCTTCTTTTGGAAAGTGTCTCTTTAGATGATCTGCCCATTTTTTGTGTTTTGTAAAAATTGATCTGGATGAGTTTGTGTATTTTAGAAGTTAATCCCTTGTTTGGTTTCCTCTAGTTTTATAATACCTGGTGTTCTATTTAGGTCTTTAAACTCATTTTGAGTTTATTTTTGTGTATGCTACTAGTTGTTTTAATTTCATTCTTTTATATACAACTGTCCAGTTTTCCCAGCACCACTTATTGAAGAGACTGTCTTTTCTCCATTGCATATTCTTGCCTCCTTCTTTATAGATTGACCATAGTGTGTGGGTTTATTCCTGGGCTTTCTGTCCTGCTCCTGGATTCGTGTTTTCTGTTTTTGTGCCAGTACAGGACTGTTCTGATGTCTGTAGCTTTGTAGTAGAGTCTGAAGTCAGGGTGTGATTCCTCCGGCTCATTCTTCTTTCTCAAGATTGTTTTGACTACTCGAAGTCCTTTGTGTTTCAATACAAATTTCAAAATTATTTCTTCTCTGAAAAGGATCATTGGTAATTTGATAGGAATTGCATTCAATCTGTAGATTGCTTTGGGTAGTATAATCATTTTGACTATATCAACAATATTGACAATATCTATTCTTCCCATCTAAGAACAGACTATATCTTTCTGTTTGCATCACCTTCAGTTTATTTCATGAGTGTTTTATAGTTTTCAGAGTATGTCTTTTGTCTTCTTAGGTAGGTTTATTCCTAGGTATTTTATTCTTTCTGTTGTGACAGTAAATGGGATTGTTTTCTTAATTTCATTGATACTTTATTGTTAATGTATAGAAATGCAACAGATTTCTATATATCAATTTTGTATCCTGCAGCTTTACCTAATTCATTAATAAGCTCTAGTAGTTTACTGGTGGCATCTTTACAGTTTTCTGTGTATAGTAGCAAGCTATCTTCCAACAGTGACAGTTTTTTTTTTACTTCTTCCTTTCTAATTTGGATTCCTTTTTTTTTTCTTCTCTGCTGTGGCTAGGACTGCCAAAGCTATTTTGAACAAAAGTGGCAAGAATGGCATCCTTGTCTTATTCTTGATCTTAGAATGCTTTCAGGTTTTCAGTGCTGAGCATGATGTCCATAGTGGGTTTGCGCTATGTATGTATGTATGTATGTATGTATGTATGTATGTATGTTCTTCATTATGTTAGGTATGTTCCCTACATGTCCACTTTCTGGTAGTTCTTATCAGAAATGGGTGTTGAATTTTATCAGAAGCATTTCTGTATCTATTAAGATGATCATATGGTTTCTAGTCTTTAGCTTGTTAATGTGATATATATCAAATTGATTTATGGATGCTGAAAAATCCTTGCAATCCTGGGATAAATCCCACTTGATTATGGTGTGTGATCCTTTTTAATGTATTGTTGCATTCAGTTTGCTTTCAAGCTCAAATCTCAGCTCACAGATTTGTTAATAGTGAGCAGTTGTCC